AAAACAATACACAACGTTTCGGGATCTGGAATCTGATCCCGTCTTCAGGTGAAAAAAACTTAACTAACACATTACAACTAACAATACACAAACGCCCAACCTAAGTTGGAATACACTACCGAAGGTAGTAGTCAAAAAATATGCACTGTATAGCAGTCAAGTCATGATACAACATGCAATTAATAACAAATCACAAAACACTATAATCTATAAAAGGTTTACGTACAAAAAACTCACACAATGGAACACTAACAACACGTACGCTATGTTAATTGTTCAATAAATAGGGAAATAACGAGTTCTCCTCAAAATTCGCACGTTATGTTAACTCGTAGTAAAACTCGTGATAGGAATAAACATAATTAACACCCATCTTGCGGCATCGTACATCGCTCCGCCTTTTTGTTGGTTTTACTTTTCCAGGGACCGGAAGCCATTTCTGTTGTCTCCGTGTTTCCGATTGGTCAGCCATGTTGGTTCAGTCTCATTGGTGGAGTCATAGCGTACGTGTTGTTAGTGTTCCATTGTGTGAGTTTTTTGTACGTAAACCTTTTATAGATTATAGTGTTTTGTGATTTGTTATTAATTGCATGTTGTATCATGACTTGACTGCTATACAGTGCATATTTTTTGACTACTACCTTCGGTAGTGTATTCCAACTTAGGTTGGGCGTTTGTGTATTGTTAGTTGTAATGTGTTAGTTAAGTTTTTTTCACCTGAAGACGGGATCAGATTCCAGATCCCGAAACGTTGTGTATTGTTTTTTACATTCGTGATGGAAAATGTCCGCAATAAACCTTTGAACAACATTAACTCACCATCACCAACAATGAACTTCAAACAAAGAATTGATTCTCGGTACGGACCCGGAGTAAGTAATCAAATAAGTGAATTGGAACAAATGCATTTAAAATTGGCTAATCACACAAACCATTTGACCTTTCTTGTGAAATGCAAACGTGATAATTTGATACCTAAAGGTTTTTACCTAAAGCCTCCTTACAAAAGTTTCAAAGCCAGCAAAATAATGTCTTTAGCTTCTAAATCTCTAATCAATGAAAGAATTGAACACCACCGTTTAGAAAAAAGACTTCTGAAAAGCTCTATTGAGAACAAAAAAGCTGAATTGGCACTAATAATAGGTTCTGATTTTCAAAACATTTTTCAAAGCATACAAAATAGGTTCAACAAAGAATCGGAAAATGTGAAGGCTAGGCAAAAGGCTAAACTACAACATCTCAGACCTCCCGATAACATTGATAGGAATACTCAAATTTCACAGTGTGATGATGCAAAAAACCAAGTTGTGAATCTGTCTTCTAAAGTTCTAAACCCAGTTGAGATTTCTGTTTTGAGCAGAGGGCTAAATTTTTCCGTTGTGCCTAAATCAGTTAAAACGCTGGATTTTGTGACAGGGATTGAGTCTGCTGTTTCTCAGTTACCTGAGTCTCAGGGGGATCAGTTCCGTTGTGAAGCTAGTATTTTACTAAAGAAAATTCCTACTCCTAAACCTAATCTTAGTAAAGAGGAAACCAAAGCAGTATCAGTCCTTGGGAAAGACGGTACTGTAAAGATTTTGCCCGCGGATAAAGGGAATGCCACGGTAGTTCTTGATACTGTGACATACGAAGAAAAAATGTTAGAAACTTTGCAATCTGGCCAATACACCCAATTGAAAAAAGACCCCACAGAAACTTTCGAGCGTAAAATCGCCAGTACTCTAAGAAAACACAAAAAGTTTTTTAGCGACAAACAAAGGACTCGGTTGACACCACACCATTCCAAAATTCCACACATGTACGGGTTACCTAAGATCCACAAACCTAACGTTCCTCTGAGACCAATAGTTAGCTCCCGTGATTCTGCTTGTAGGGAATTGTCTAAAGTCCTTCTGGACATTTTAAAGCCTTTAGTAGGAAACACTGATTCGTTTATCAAAAACTCCAAAGATTTTGTAGAAAAGTCTAAATCTATCGTACTGGCTGATACTGACAAGCTGGTCAGCTTCGATGTTGAAAGTCTGTTTACGAATGTCCCCGTTTCGGAAACCCTAAAAATAATTGAGACTCGTCTCACAAACGACGATACTTTAGCAAACAGAACTAAACTCCCTGTTAACGTCATAATGGAACTTTTGGAGTTGTGTACTCAATGTAACTATTTCCAATTAGAGGGTAAATTATACCGTCAAGATGAGGGTATGGCCATGGGGTCACCATTGTCACCTATCTTTGCCAACATCTTTATGGAGGAGTTTGAGCAAAAAGCTTTGGCTTCAGCTCGGCTCAAACCGAGGATATGGTGGAGATATGTCGATGACACTTTCGTGGTTTTCCCTCATGGAGATGATAAATTGAATGAGTTTTTAGAGCATCTTAATAGCGTTTCATCCTCCATAAAACTAACCATGGAGGTGGAATCACAAAACAAACTCCCCTTTTTGGACGTGTGCGTAGAAAAGCATTTGAACAGTCTTAGAACATCTGTTTTTAGAAAAAAGACACACACAGGGCAGTATCTAAACTTTCAATCAAACCACCAAATTTCTGTCAAGGAGGGGGTTGCTTACTCTCTGTTTGACAGGGCTAAGAGCATTTGCTCCAATCAGGATGAGTTAAAGGATGAAATTAAGAAAGTAGAACAGGATTTGGCTAGTAACGGATACCCTCGATCCATTATAAACAAATGCAAGAAAGATAGGGCTACGCGTGAACCTTTACAAAATCGCAAGGAAAAACTCGTCCACATGTCAATCCCGTATGTGTCAGGACTGTCGGAAAAAATCAGAAGGGTTGCTAGGAAATTTAATGTGCAAACAGCATTTAGGACACAAAACACACTTAGGCAGAGTCTCGTCAAAACAAAACCCAAAAATGACACTCAGGATACTAAAAACTGTGTTTACAGAATAAATTGCAATGATTGTTCCAGGCCTTACTATGGCGAGACAAAAAGACCGTTGAACATTAGAATCAAAGAACACAGAGAAAACACCAAAAAAGGTTTAGTGGACAAATCTAAGATCGCTCATCACTGCTGGTCCGAAAATCATCGAATGAATTTTGAAGAGGCAAAAATTGTCCATAAGGAACCTCATTTTTTCAAACGTAAACTCATTGAAGCCTCATACATTAAATTAGCAGACCAACCAATCAGTCAGTCATCGGTTGAAATAAGGCCACTTTGGCTACCCATTTTGAACAAGGAACTAAAGGATAGGGAACTTAATTGTTCAATAAATAGGGAAATAACGAGTTCTCCTCAAAATTCGCACGTTATGTTAACTCGTAGTAAAACTCGTGATAGGAATAAACATAATTAACACCCATCTTGCGGCATCGTACATCGCTCCGCCTTTTTGTTGGTTTTACTTTTCCAGGGACCGGAAGCCATTTCTGTTGTCTCCGTGTTTCCGATTGGTCAGCCATGTTGGTTCAGTCTCATTGGTGGAGTCATAGCGTACGTGTTGTTAGTGTTCCATTGTGTGAGTTTTTTGTACGTAAACCTTTTATAGATTATAGTGTTTTGTGATTTGTTATTAATTGCATGTTGTATCATGACTTGACTGCTATACAGTGCATATTTTTTGACTACTACCTTCGGTAGTGTATTCCAACTTAGGTTGGGCGTTTGTGTATTGTTAGTTGTAATGTGTTAGTTAAGTTTTTTTCACCTGAAGACGGGATCAGATTCCAGATCCCGAAACGTTGTGTATTGTTTTTTACATTCGTGATGGAAAATGTCCGCAATAAACCTTTGAACAACATTAACTCACCATCACCAACAATGAACTTCAAACAAAGTATACAATATGCTAAAAAAACAAATATATACATCATTTTAAAAAAATCATTAACTTTGTAATACCCTTTATTAAGCAGCAATTTGGTAACTTCTTTTTTGTATTTTTCAAGAGATTCTAATGATTTAATATTATCAGGCAGTTTATTATACAGTTTTTTCCCTAGATATTGTGGAAGGGTTTCAAGTTAGGTAAGGCTATGAATGGGCAGTTGTAAATCATTTCGATGTCGTGTTAAATAATTATGGTTATGGTTTTCATTCATAAAAGATTCAAGATTTTTTTTATCAAGATTATAAAAACATAAGCAAGATATAAACTGACGGAAGTGTTAATATTTTCAATTCTCTAAATAATAATTTACAGGATCGCCGAACATTCATAGAAATGTTATTTTCCTTTGTATTGTATTTTGTAATTTGTTACTGCGCTATAGATTATTTGTTACAAGCCTATGTTACAATTAATGTTTATGTTATGTTTGTTGGCTAAGGTAGCTGTGCTATTGTCAACAAAACACGTGGTTCACTACTGAGCTTAAACAACGCGTTCTATATAGATTCTATATGCTGCAGAGTGAATGTGGTACCTAACTTTATGTAAGTTATTGTACTGGGCCCAAATATGTATTTACTAACAATTGACTTGTCTATGCATTATATATGTAAAAGTGACAAATAAATGTCTTATGTCTTAACCCTATTGTTCTATTGATTAAATAATGAATAATTACTAATTGTTAAACTAGGCCTACCTTCTAGTCTTTTACCTTCGATCTCTTTACCACATTTGAAAGCATTAATGTAGTTAGTGACCTCCGAGTGCCTAAGTTTATGTTGCCAGTCTAAGGTAGATAAGTTAGGGTTAAAAAAGATCTACCATATGGGCACTAATCATCTTAATCTGAATTTCAACCCAAACATGAAAGATAGGCCTAGGCCTGAGTCATGTTGTGAAGCTGAAGTTTTAGTCAAGAGTTGGGTACAGTTCCACAGAGAGTTTACGATAGCCTAAGTTATATTTATAAATATAAGCTAATTTAGATATAACTATCTAATCTACGATTAAAATATTTCAATCAATATAAGTTAAATTGATTTATTTAAAGTTTTCTGGATGTGCCGGAAATTGAAACCGTCCCTCCAGCACCGAAGTCTTGGTAGGAAACTTACATATGTGCTCTGGTCTTTGTTTCAGAAGCGGCAAACTTACTTGGAGAAGAGATAATCTTTTTTGGACAATGAGTAAGAGCAATACAATTATTTGTGCTGCTAAAAACTGCTATAGTTCATTAGTGACACACCCAAATAAAAGTTTCTTTGGTTTTCCCACTGACACATCTTTGTAAGTACTGTAACTTATTTCAAAAAAATTTGTCATGGGAGTATTTTAGTTGTTTTTATTGATACTTACTATCAGCACTGTTTTGTGCACAAAATGCAATTTTGGTAATTGTATTAAGTATAACAGCTGCTTATCTCTAGCTCCATATCCAATTGCTGGTCAAGGATTTGCAGTGTTGGGAAGTAGCGTGCTACTTTTTTTGTAGCGTTAGCTGTAGCAGCCTACTTTTAAGATTTTGTAGCTTTATCTGTAGCTAGCTAGATTTCTTAGCTACTTTTCTCGCTACATTAACCCTAGCCTATAATTACATTAAACACATTAACATGATGCCTATAATGGCCACTATCGTAATGTGATAGTACGGGCCGAAATTTTTGTAACGGTAAAAAAACCACCAATAATCAGCTATACCCCTACTATAATTGCAAATTAGGTAGTATACTTTAATTTGGAATAAACCCTGTTAAGCAGGTAGTAGATGTGAGATAATAACACGTTCGCTACTGCAATAGTACAAAATTTTTCATCCACATGGACCAGCGACGCTCACATGCGACGGCCGGTTTCCACCCAGGCTAGTCACATTAAAATAGACCGCCGTCGCATATTTGCTGCAGGGCTCTAATGTTATTAAAATGGGATACGATTTTAAAACGATACGTACGATACTTAAAAATTCATAAAACAAAATGGCGGCCATTTAATGTTTTGTTTCTTAAATAACTCAAAAACCGTTGATTTTACCTAAATTTTAAATGGCTGCCATTTTGTTTTATAAATTTGAAAAATCGTCATAATTTTTTTGTAGCTTTGTCTACTTGTCATAAATGTTTGTGCAAAGTTTCCATTTCGTATGTTTAACCATCCTTTAGAAAAAAATTTATTACTGAAATAAACAAAATGGCGGCTATGTGAGTAACTAAGGACTTCCGGACAATTTAAATATGATATTTAGGTATGTTTCTTACCCAGGAGCAATGCCCTAAAATATTGGTAGAGAGTTCCGGGACACCCTGTATATACAGGGTGATTGATATAAGTGTGCCTGCTGTTTTTTTTTTTTTTTTTTGAAAGTTATAGGAGATATAAAAAAAATGTAAAATTGTAATATAAAAAAAAATAATTAATAAATAATAGCCTAAATAATTAATAAAATTAATAATGTAATATAAAAAATTGTAAGATGGCGGAAAGCAGTGGTCACTTGTAAATTAGCTCTCTATAAAAGTTCATATTTCAGTGATATTAGGAAGTATATTTTGTAAAATACAGTATAAGTGAATTTTTGAACATACCTTTGGCTGTTTCCAAGTGAATTAAAGGAGGAGTCAGTAGTGATAGGTTTTAAAAACTGATAATAAGATTGCAGTGGTGAAGGGTTCGGGATTAGACTGGTTTGATAAGGAAAGGAAGTCCAGCCAAGGCCAAGGTCAACTCAGGTACCCGAACTCTTATCAGTCAGCAGAGATAACAAGTGAATCTATGATTTTAACCTTCACTACTTAGAATTTTTCAGCTTGAAAAATAAACGTTATATTTCTTATTAATAATTTTTATAAAATAAAATAAAATTATTTTTTTAAGTTAATTTTAATACAATTATTTATTTAACTTATATTGACACTGGACTGAGAATTTCTATGAACAGAGTGTTTTAAGGCCTGAATTATAAAGGCATACATTTTGTTTTAAATTACATTTATTGTTGACTTCAGAGTATTTTTGAAATATGTCTAAAACTTTATGTGGCATTTGTTCAAAAGGGGTGAGGTCTTCAGCAATATTTTGTAATAGCTGTGATAACTGGTTTCATTTAAGCTGTTTGAATTTGGACTACTCAACGGTAAAAAAATTTTCAACGGAAGAAGTAAATCAATGGCAATGTACTGGATGCTTACAAAATACTAATAAAAATGAAACAGAACTGAAAAACGATATTCAACGAGAGGGGGTGTCTCTGGCAGAAGAAATAGACAGTGTGCTGTTGAAAGAAAATGAAAACCTTAGGCAACAGCTACATGAGGCAAAAAATAAAAGCTCTTTTTTCGAACTTCAACTTGAAGATGATTTAAAACAAAAAGAAGAAGAACTGGAAGAAATGAAAAAGTGTCATGAAAACCAAGTACTTGATTTAGAGGATAAAATAAAGACCCTTGAAGGTAAACTAAAAAAGGAAAAGGAATTGAAAGAAATTATAATATCGCAAGCAGAAGAGGAAAAAACGTGTCCAACAGAAAAACAGTGGTATTTCTAATCAAACAACAGTAAATAACAAATGCATGGAGTGTAACATACTTAGAGAAGAATCAAACAACATGATGTCATCTCTAAGAACCTTAGAAACCATTATATCACTGTTGAAATCAGAAAATAATGATCTAGAAAAAAAACTACAGTCTATGGAAAATGTTAAATCCACCTGTTTAAGTTGTTTTCCCCCTCTAGCTACTCAATCAAGCATTAGGGTTGAATCTGACAGTTTATCAGAATGGCAGGAAGTTAAAATCTCCAAAAAAAGACAGTCTCAAGTTCTAATGACAAGTACACCTACACTCAACATAAACAATCGCTTTGACGCTCTCTCAGAAACCCATGAGAACAGACAAGAAGATGACGCAGAATTAGTTCCTTCTACAACAATTAAACAAACCAATACAACTGCAAACAAAAATATTGGAAAAAACAAAATCAAGAAAAAAACTAAAATGCTTTTGTGTGCTGATAGCCATGGCAGGGATCTCTCGCATCATCTAAATGGAAACACTAAATCTCTTGAGGCAGTAGGTTTTGTAAGACCTGGAGCCTGTGCAAATGAAGTCTTAATTGAGAAGAATATTGACGGGGAGAAACTTAAAGAAGAAGATTTTTTGCTAATAATGGCTGGTTCTAATGACATTGCTAGAAATGAGGCCCAGCATGCCCTGGATAGTATATCAAAAACAATAAAAAAATACAGCAAGCAAAAAATAATAGTTGCAGATTTTCCATTAAGATATGACTTGACAGAATGGTCTTGCGTGAACACTGAAATCAGGATCTCGAATGAAACTTTGAAACAAGTGTGTTGTCAGCACAGTAATGTAACACTGGTAAAAGTGAGTTCAAGTGAGCGTTATCATCACACACGACATGGACAACACGTTAATAGAATCGGCAAGAGGTGGCTGGCCAATAAAATCATTGAGGCAGCATCTGAAACCCATGCAGCAACGAATGAGGCCCTTACATCCAAATACAATGATGAGTTCTACAAGCTACCGGAAGGAACATCGCAGGATGTCAGTCCCATCACAGACAGAGAGGTGAGCCACAGCAGTCCACAACCACAGGGAAACGGCCAAGAGATGACAACACCAGCCAAATTAGGTTAGGTAGCTCTAGATTAGATTTTAAGATTACGCATAATTTAGATTCATTAATGCACATAAACATTCAAGGAATAAAAGAAAAATTTGATGACTTGAGCTTAATTTTGGATCAAATAAATAAAAAAACTTTAATTATATCTTTAAATGAACATTGGTTGCCTAAAGAAAATATAGAACTGTTGAACAAAATCGATGGATTCTGTGTAGCTGACTACTATGCTAGGAAAAATGGTTCAAGAGGTGGGTCAGCAATTTTATTAAAACAAAATGCAGGTATAGAATATAAAATAAGAAATGACCTTAAAATTTTTAATGAAGATTTTTATTTTGAATGTTCCATCATTGAAATTCTGAACTTTGTAAAACCGACAATAATTGTATCGTTATACAGAGTACCATACAAGTTCACATTAGCTAGTTTTCTGAAAAAGTTACAGTATTTATTAAATAAGTTGAAAGGGAGGAAAATCTTAAATGTATTAATAGCTACTGATTGTAATATTAATGTCTTAGATAATAAGGCTTCAGATGGATTTTTGAATGTTCTATATTTTAATGGTTTCAAAGTCAATGTTATGGAGGTGACCAGACCTAGCAGTGGAACTTGCATTGATAATATTATTACTAATGAGAAACATGAGATAGAAGACATTCTCCTTAAAGATATAGGTATTTCCGATCATAGTGCCATTTGGGCTACATTACCCAGATTTAAAGAAAAGAAAAAAAATAAAGAACATGTCCTTAAAAGATATTTTGTGACGCAAAATTCTAGGGGGGAATAAACTGGTATTCACCTAAGTCAGGCTAGGCCTACCCCTAGAACCAGCCACACTCAAATTTCTTCCCCGGAGTGCTCAGAAGGAGCCGAGAAAAATCCAGGGGTCGATACGAAGTTGTCACGGCTTTGACTGATCAATTTATTAAAATTCTATCGAAGGCTCAGAGCTCCAGAAGCGCTCAGGAAATCCTGCAGACGCTCAGTAGGAGCTATTTCATCCTCACCTTCGCTAACGTGTTTTGGAGAATTTTGCCTAACTTTTATACTGACTCTATAGGACTGACGAGTATTCAATCTTAGCCAATGTGATTTAAATACTCGTAATAAACTGTGAACTATCTGGCTAAAGTCGTTGGTAAATAATATAAAATCGAATATAAGGTAAAAGTAATTCCTACAGAGTCGTCGGGCCTAATTAATGTAATTGGACGGATAATTTAACGTGAGTGGTTTAAAATAAATTTAATATTAATTTTCGTAGCTGATTGTTCAAATCAGCCTGCTCCCAAGACTTGATTCTTTCACCCGCCAAAGACGGGGTTTAGAACTTAGACGACAAGTCTCGGGGTATTAAAACGTCGAGTCAATTAAAATAATATAAGTAATAATCACGCGTTAAGTGAACGGAGAAATCGTAATTTCGAAACTAATTGATTAAAATAAAATAAACGGTCGCCACCGCTAGTCACTGGCAGGCAGGAACTGGCGGGTCAAGACTCAAGTTACGATATTAAATTTAGATAATTCGAATCGGTAATTTAAGAAAACGAAGAAGTAAAATAAGTTAAGTATGCGTATAATAAAGATAAAACAAAAATAACGTGAAACGTAAAAAGGAGCCTAACTGGTGT